ACTTTTGAAACTGCTTTGAAAAGGTTCAAAATTTCATTTGAATGAATTTGGAGAAGAAAATAAATTGAAAAAAATTGATTTGCTTCTTACTGGGCCGCCGCCTCCCTTCTGGCCCGCTTGCAGATTCGGCCCGCAGAGCCGCGCGCTTCGCCCTGGCCCAGCAACCACTTTGCCGGCCTAGGCCCACGCCGCGCCTCCCGCTCACGCGCCGCGCCCGCCTTCCCCGCCTGCCCGGCCGCCACGTGGCGTCCATACACCGGCGGTGAAGGGCGGTGCTCCGACCAGCGCTCGGCTCAAAAGCCGACCAGACGCGCGCTCCACCCCACGCTCTTCTCATTTGCTGCCTTGTCCCCCTGCCTCTCGCTCAGCAGCAGCAGAGCACGTGCACACGCTCGCCTCCGCCACCGCGTGCCACGCCTCGCCGGAGTTGGCTCGCCCGACCACCCCAGCTCGTCGTCGACCGCTCCGTCTCGCCCTGAGCACCCCCTCCACCTCGCGCACCCCGTGCTCACGTCGGTTCGCCGTGGTAAGCCTTCACTGGAGTGAGCTCCTCCTCGCCGGAGTGCTCCACTCCGTGGACCTCGCCCCTCCGTCCTCCTTCTCGCTCTATCTTCTCGCGCATGAGCACCGCACCGCATCACTGAGTCTCCCGAGCACCTTCACTCACCGTGCCATGGCCGGGGATGCCTCACCGACGACGACCCGCGCCGCCACTCCGCCATGCACGGCAGCGGTCGGCTTCCCAAGCTCCTTGGCCCATGCCACGGACACCGTTGGGTTCACGCGAGGGTGGGGAGCACGTTGGTCACCTTCACTAGGCCGGAGACCTCGCCGTCGGTGAGATCTCGGCGGTCCGCCGCCTCCTCTGTCCCGTGTGACTGACCAGTGGGGCCAGGGGGCCCACTGTCAGCCGCTGGGGTGCACGTCTGTGTGTTCAGATCCGGGTGGATCTAGCATTTTTGAACTGGGAATTTCAGAAAGATTAAAAGAAATTATTTACAGATTTTGTTTAAATGCTTTGGAAATTTATAAATTGAAAAATATTGCTCCAAATTTGATGAAACAAATTTTGCTAGGTTTCTTGTGACTAGATCTATCTGTTAAAAATATTGCATGTGGTTTTTGTGATACTTGTGTATAGGGTTTTATTTAATTCTTGTATTTGCTGTTTTCTTGGAAAATGCTTAATAAATAGAATATACATCAGAAAAATATGATTCCAATTTGGTTGATCTATTCTTGAGATGTACTTTGTAGGAAAAATATATGTCATGCATGTTCTGTAGAGAAATATTGATGTGTAGTTCAAGTGCCTTTAATTGATGATTTTTGTTATTTTGATAGAGAGCAAAAATTGTATAAAACATGTGTATGATAATTTTTGTGCAGTGATTGTTTACTGTGTAGAACATAGGAAAAATACCAAATCTGTTGTTTGACACTTTTCATAGTACAAAGTAATTTCATGCTCATATTTATGCCATAGCTTGTCATTTTTGTGTAGGCTATTTTACTTATCCAAATGGCATGAAAATTTTATGGTAGTCTACTTCGAGTAGTACTATGCTACTATAATTTTCTCAGATTTTTATGAGCACCAGAAATATATGTTGCTGTTGTAGCCCTAGTTTAAAATGAAATAAAATAATCTTCTTTAATGCATGTTTAGTTAATAATGTTTGCTTTGGTGAATCTTTGAAGCATCTTAGTTTACTGTGGTGACTTGACATGTTAGTACAGTGGTTGTAGTAGTAGTATAGTAGTACATGTTCTTGGATGATGTTGGCTACCTTGTAGAAGAGCTTTACTTCTACTATGTCCAATAAAGTTAAACATGTTCATCTACATTCCATGCATCATGATCATTACCTGTCATCTCTCCGATGCACCTATGCTTGAGCACTTATACATCTGCATCATATAGAATCGTAGGAGGAGTTGCTAGTAGCAGTTTAGGAAGAGCAGACCGGGACAAATCCATAAGAAGTCCAGGCACAGGAGGTGCCAGAGGAAGAGGAGCGAGGAGAGGACTTGCCCGAGTGCGTGGATCATCAACCTAGTTCGTTTGAACGAGGCAAGCCCCGAAGCATTCTAAGTCTCCTACTTTATAAAAGAAATTCTTTCTATATATGAGTTTATATATTGTTGCATTAAGTTGTAGGAGTTGATTGAAACCGTTGATGCATTTATTACTATCCTTGCCTACCTTATTACCTTTTTATCCTGTTAGATCGGGATCGAATAACTGCTTAGCCTTGCTTAGACCGGTAGCGATCGGTGATTTCCGGTCACCGACATTTATAGGTGGTTACTGGAAGAATTTAGCTATGGAAAGAATGATATCCTAGAATTAACCATGTGTGATGGATAATTGAAGACCGGACGAAAAAAGTTGGAGGCAACCAGACAGGGTTCTGGGGTGATGTTAGTTTTCCATCTGTGTCGATTAAGGACCGATCGTTGCTTGTCCCTCTTGTCATGTTGAACGCATGCCTCACATTTAGCTGGCCGAATAAAGTACCTTTCGACCGCGAAGCTAGTGACACTATTCGAGCCGGGATAAACTCGGATTGGCAGACTGGTGCTGAAGGGGTATGACGGGGACGTGAAGAGTGAGCCCATGGTGCGTCCTGGCTGTCGGGCGGTCCCTGGGTAGTGCGGTCCATGACTGTTATCCTGCGGCTACTTGGAAAGTGTCATTGGTGATCTGTAGCTCACTTGATCAGTGAGTGTGGTTTGTGTGAGGAATAAATCACCAGCTGGTTAGGAATCGATTCGAATCGCCATCGCTCCTAGATAGTGAGCACTTGACTCGAGCTACAACATCGTAGTAATTATGATGAAACACTGATGGTTATCTGGATGGTATGGGATATGCTAAATCTATGTTGGTAACTGGATGTTATTGGTTAATCAAGTGATTGCTATAGTCTAGGTGCTTACCTAGATGGATAGGTCATAATAAAGATGATGCAAAATACTTAAAATAGTTTCTTCATGATAGCTTATGCTTTTCGCAAACAAGTCAGCTAGCCCACTAAAGAAAGCCTTGCATAATCCTTGGTGTTGCTTTATTTTGGTTTAAGACGGGTAAGTCTAGCTGAGTACCTTCTCGTACTCAGGGCGTTGTTTCCATTGTTGTTGTAGATGGTCAAATGTACTACGGTTGTTACATTAACTGCCTGTACCCGGTGATGGGTGACAACTAGGACCAAGGGCAATGGTCACTCGGTATCTCTCATCTGATGCTTTGTTGGAGATGACTACCTACTGGCACTGTATCTGAACCAAAAGTGTGTGTGTGGCTTTAAAACTATTTGCTTCCGCTATTTCAGTTGGAACTTGGATTGTAATAACTTTATGTTCTAAACTCTGATGTATCCAACTGTCATTGCGAACTTTATGTAACATGTGACGGTAATTGCTAAACTTGTACGATCTTGGTTTGTATGTCGATTGGTTTGAAATCCTTCGTGGTTTCATGGACTTCCGGGTTATATGGGCTTAAGTTTGCTAAATTATCTGCTTCGGCGGAAGATTTCCTTACTTAATCTCGTATAATTGGTCGGTTCTGTTACAGGCGGTGGAGTCCTTATTATCCTCCGCTTGTCCCCTCCTTCATTCAAGACGATGACGGCGGCACCGGCCGGAGCCGCAGGTCCGGTGCCCGGATGGATGGATCCTGACCCCAGGCGGCCGGATCTGGTTTGGCGGCCGGTGGCGGCTGCGGTGGCAGCCGACGGTGGTGGTCGGGGCTCATGCAGGCATTGGGGCGGTGCTCTCTTCTCTATCTACCCCTCCCCTCATGACCTTGGCTGCTACGGCGGCAGCCGAGCCTCTTCTAGAGCTAGTTGTGGCCGTGGCGGCATCCTGCCGGCCAGCCTGTCCACGGATAGTCTGGCGGCCTGGGCGACAGCAACGACGATGAGCGGGCTTTGGGAGGTGCCACGGTTGTGGTCAAGATGGAGGCGGCGGCGGCGACAGTGGGCAACGGGTTCGGGGCCTGGCGTCCAGAGCCGGCGACCCCAGGGCAGGGAGCGACGCCTGAGTTGGTGGTAGCACATAGACCCTATGGCTGCTGGCGGTGTTGTCGGCAGCTACATTGACGGGTGCCTAAGCCAACGATGATGGTTAATGGCGGCCTCAGCGTGCTGCGGTGTGACGTGAGCGGTGGAGCCAGGTCGGGCTCTGCGTGGCCTAGTCGAAGGGGGTGGCAGCCGACGCAGCCGCTATGCGTCGATGCCCCTCTGAAGGGGCTTCCATGGGGCGGCGGGACATCGACGTTGGCGGTGTAGGCCCGACGTTCGTGCTAGAGGGTTCGTGGGCGAAAGCCTTGGCGACGGCGACGTCATTGGGTGCTGTTTTCCTGTTGGGGGCGTTGTGTTTAACCCTCTAGTATGTCATCCAAGGGTGAACACCCGGTCCACTTTGGACGTGCGACGGTGGCGCCATCGCCGTTGCTCCCTTCCTGAAGGCGTCACATTTGAATTATTGTCGCTGTTTCGATGTGAGGTGACGGTTCGTGATTGGAAGTCAGGGCTACTCTTCGGTGTTCGAGCTTGGCAACGATGACCGGTGGTGATCGTTAGCTTCGCACCCTTCGAGGAGTGACTAGTGGATGGCCTGCCATAGGAAGTCAAAGCTGCTAGCAGCTTGGCTTGCATGCTCAGTAACAATGACTCATGGCAGGGTATCATGTTTGACTTTTGACATCTCATCTGGCTAATCTTCTTGTACATAATATTATTTCGTCTTAATTGAGCGACAGAGTTCTTGGCCTGGTTTCCAACCAAAAAAAAAATGAACTGTACACAAGGTGTGCGAAAAAAACTAGCCATTGCAAAGGTTGGTGTTTCTTATTACTGCAAGTCTGCAACTGAACATGATTTGCCACTACTACGTAGGAGTACTAGATATCACCATGGGCTCTACCCATTAAAAAAAAACTTTGCATGCGTACGTGGAGAGAAAAAAAAACATTCAGCCGATGGGCTGCGATGTTAATTCTTCCTTTCTTGTGCTCTACTGCTCGCTGCGGCGCCTAGTCGGCACGGTGGTCCATCCATCCGCATCGGGGACGGGCTTGGAGGGTTTTGGGTTCCGCGGCGCCGGCACTCAACCTCCATTGGGCCTGCTCCATCATCATCTTCCTCTGAGCGTGAGCTCTCATCATCACTGCTACTGTCGTAGCCTCTATACCTGTTTCAGAAGATGGGACCAAACTGTGAGTTCATTTAATTTATTACAACCATGGGTGAGGAATGCAACCACTGTTATATATAATAACAACCGCCACTGATGTTATATAAAGGGTGGGCGCTGATGGACAGCTTTTAGGCCGCTAAAGGGAGAGGCACAAGACAACAGAGCACAACAAGCTTTTGCAGCCAAAAGTCTCTCTGAAATTGCATATACACAAGTACATGCATCGATCCAAAGCTCTTGCCTTTGAGGGATATTGCATAATGCATCAAAAAGCTCAAAACGTTCAAAATTATTACCTCTTTGATCTGGGTAATGGCGCTGCGCCCGCAAGCCGTGTCTTCCTAAGCTTATCCATGTATGAATAGCTCTGTCGCAGACAGCGTGTGTACATAATCATCAGATGCTTAGTAACCTGCTTGGGAGAAGAGAAACGGTTAAGTGCCTTGGCAGCTTTAAACGGAAACAAATTAACTGGATGATGTCACATGCATGCAAATAAAATTAAGTCCGACTCCACACAACAATGAACTATAATAATGAACATCTTTTGGCAGTTGATTTGAGGGGAAGAATGTAATATAACTCATCAAATTTATTAGTCATCTACTTGTATTTTGAGATGTATATATATTCTTCTCTATTATGCCTTGTTTGGATGTTGTCGGATTCCCTTCAATCCACATGTGTTCGAGTGGATTAGGGTGGAATTTAATTCAAGTTCCACTCCAATCCATCCCAACACATGTGGATTGATGCGAATACGACTACATTCAAACAAGGCATTAATATATATTTTGAGATATATATACAGGCATACAGCTTCTGTTGAAAACATTGCTTCAAACAGAAGATCAACTGTAACCGGGGGCGAGAGGCCCCAATAAAATTTTATTTGTGAGGAGAGCAGATTAAATTGCAACAGTATACAAAGTTATGCAGGGGTAGTAGGCAAGCACACTATCCTCATAACTGTGTGATGGTAACAATTATTCTTTGTTTCTGCTTGGATGTAGGTCAAAATTATAAGGCAATGCCCTGTGTGTTTTCTTAAACACGTCTGCTACTATTTGGCCCTGTTTCGCGATCCGTATGTATGTCTGCACTTCATCTACTACTGTACTGTCTTGTGTTATTAAATCATCATGTGGTTCTGGTGTCATCTGGGATGATAGTAATGATAGCTCAACTCCTCATGTATCTTGGCAGCATTGTTCAAATTATCCCTGAGCATATATCTTTGACTTAAAATGAGAATATATTTTGCGCATCTGAACGAATGTCACTTCATCCAATTAAATTAAGTTTGAAAGGCAACACTGCATTATACAGAGAGAGTTCATTTTACGAATAGCGTGCTAAATTTCTCTAGTTTCCGATCGTGTTAACTACCTACAGATTGATTCGATTCATGAATGAGAGATTGCATTATACAGAGAGAGTTTAAAGCAGCAGCAGAAGAAGAAGAATACCTCCTCGACGCTCCCATCCTCAATGTCGGCGTTGAAGGACTCGCCCATGGCGTCGTACAGCAACTCCTCCAGCTCGTCCTGGTCGAGCGGGCCCGCGCCTTCAGTAATTCAATACATCGATCGCGCACAAACGAAACGAACAAAATAAATCATAATTCATCAAATGAACAGATCGCGAATAGTTTTGTTTCCAGATTAATTAAGTTTGGAAGACAACAACAATGCAGTGCAACGCATGCAGCAGGATGGAGACGAGATCGAGATCGATGGAGACCTCTGGCGGCTTTGCGGGTGAACCAGGAGAGGACGGAGGAGGCGAGCTGGTCGGCGTTGGCCTGCGAGTCGCGGCCGCCCCAGCGGTTCCTCACCGCCAGCTGCAGCGCCGTCCACCTCCCGAACAGCAGGCCGATGCACTCCGCCATTGCCGTCGCCCCCTCGTCGGACAGCACCCCGACGCCGGCCGTGCCGGATGACGAGGACGAGGCCATGGCCCTCTGCCCCTCTGGGTTTGGCCTCTCGCTGGATGGGTGGGTGCTATGTATATGGGCTAGGGTTTTCACTGCCGAGGCTCCGTTTTGCAGGTGCAGGAGCCCCAGCTATGGTTTCTCGGTCGGGGCTTGCCTGTTGAGCGCTACTGTATGCTGTTTGGCGGGCCGTTGAGCGCTGCTGGGCCCACGGCGTCTCTACATGGGTCGCAACGCCCAACGCCTAGGCTCTTCTTGTGTCTAACTGCGGCCCAGGACGCTGCCTCTTCGGCAAGGGGAGCTCTTCCAACAGTCAGTCCCCAGACTCGCCTTCGCTGCAAGCTTTGTGATGCTTGCGTGCACGCAGCTGGACTCGCCGGTCATCGAGGCCGCGCCTCGTCTGCGGAAAGCCTCAAAGCGCATGTGTGGGGACACGGACACCGAGGACCGGCTCTATGTTTTCAAGGGCCTCGTAGCGAACGTATCATCATGGGATCATATATATATTCGTGCCTAATTATACTTGCAAAGCGCTTTGCAAAACAAATCGAACAATATTGTTTCAATTTAATATGTTTAATAAAGATCGATGAAAAATGTTAAGGCTATAAGACAACGCCTGTGCTGCAAGTTGCAGCCTACGGACGAGCCGGCGCCAGGCCCAGCGTGAGTGTGTGACGATGATCCGATCGGTAGTGGTCCACCGACTGTGTATATCCTAAGACCTAGGACGTGTTCGGCTGGCATTAAGTTTATACTGTAGCAGCTTTACACTGTAGCAGCTAGAAAACACGATAGGAGCTGGTTTTTTACGAGAGAAAAACACTGCTCCGACTGAAAAAAAAAGGGCAGCCAGCCAGCCAAATCTGGCCAGCCGAACACGCCGCTAATGTCCGCGTCTAATACTAACAATGAACGCAGATAAACATTCACAAATATCACCAATTTGCTGACCCTGGCCATGGAACAAATGAGCCACCAAATCACGAAATTGAGGGGGGAACAAGTTGTACCTGAGCAGGGCGCTGCACTCGCCGGCGGCGCCTAGGTCTCCCAGACACGCTTGGAATGGGGAAGGAAGGGAGAGAGAGAGAGAGAAAAAAAAGAAATTGGGCCGGGTCGGCCAAGCCTATATCCCCTTGTCGCACCAACCCGCCCGGCATGACAAAGCCTTGTCGCACCAGCCCGCCTAGCGTGACATGACAAGTCTAGTCGCGCTCGAGTCGTTGGTGCGACAGGGTAGGCCCCATCTTGCGCCACGCCAGCTCGGGCCAGCGGTCCACGCCACTGTGGCGCTCCTTGTCGCGTCAAAGCATATGGCGCGACAGAGTGGTTCTGTCACATCATCCGCGCTGGCGCGACCAAAAGGGTCGGTGTCGGTGCGAAATGTGGCCGACAAGTAAATATTTATAGTTTTGCCGTGCGTTGAGATCAGATGTGGCCTTGCACTCAATGACACAAGATTTATACTGGTTCAGACAACGTGCCCTACGTCCAGTTTGAGTCGGTCGGTGACTTTATTCCTAAGCCCAGGTGCTCGAAGTTTGCAATGGGGGTACAAACGAGTGAGGAATGAGTAGGGGGTGTAAGAGACCCGGTCGGACTCTGAACCGAGTGAAAGAGAGTGACCGGTGCTCAAACGTGCGCTAAGTGTTTGAGAGCGTGTGGACCCTTCGAGAGTTGAGGGTCGTAGTACTGTCGAGCCTATGTGTCTTGAGCTTAGGCACTTTTTTCTGTGCCGCCATGGGTACGCTATAGCGTTCCTAGATGGTAGCTTGTGGCCTCGGCTATAAATAGAGCTGCTCCTGCCTGTGGAGCATCCATGGCTCGAGTTATAGCGCTAGTTGGTTTGAGACTCTTGCTCTTTGCCAAGGGTAGCGTTAGCTATACCTCCTGATGCCAGAAGATTTCTCGTAATAGTGTTGAGAAGCTCCTTCCCTCCAAAGCCTCTTCGGGGACGTCCAAGGGCCATGATGCTAGAAGATCTCTCATAAGGAGAGGGCATCATGCGTCTCGAAGGGGCCCCTGTCCTGGATTCTGGATCAGAGGACAGAGGAGAGGGGGGAGAGCATTGGAGCGGGAGAATAAGGATCTTGGCTCCCTTGTCCCGCTTCTGGCTCTAAGGTGAGTTGCAGCCTCGGAGATATTCACACACGCTTGGCGTGATATTGTAAAAGCACAGGGCTTCTGTCTTTAGCTTAATGAAAGCTCACATTCGCTATATGTTCCCTATGCCCATGGTGCCATGGAGGCGGGCTTGTTATTGGAACTTTAGTGTTTTCCTCCTTGGTTTGTCGCTCTGCGCAGGGTAGCCGAGTAGGAAAAGTGGCACCTAGCCCCTAAGGAGGGAACTGGCGAAGGCCGCGAAGGCGTGCTGAGTGGACGTTGGCGCCCAGCCCCCAGGGAGGGACTCGTTGTTGGTCTATTTTCCGCCAGGTGCGCGCGAGCGCACCCGATGGGTGTAGCCCCCAAGCCTGCAGTCGACTGGTGAGTCGATCAGAGGCTGAGCACATGGGTACTCTTTCTTGGGGCCGCAGACTCTTGTGTCCCTATCAGTTTGTATAAGACCGTTTCAGTCGGGGCGTTTGCCTGTGTGTGTTCTGACTGCGACCAGCGTGGTCGGTCAGGTTCCCAAGTCGAGATCTGGCGGCCCAAGCCCCCGAGGCACTAGGGGCCGGTCAGGGTTGGTCGTATGTTTTCATGCATCACCCCATCCATGGTTTCCACAACCGGAGGGGTTGAGCTGATTCCACTTGCCTTGATGGCTCGAGTGGCGGCCTCGGTGAGCTCGCTAACGGGCATGTCCGAGTGGAATCCAAGTCTGTTGTTCGTAACGGGGTCGGCATAGCCCTCATGTGGCATTCCACTGCTCCTTAACCCACCTCCCGGCAGATGCCCGAGTCATTCCGGAGACCAGCTCAGGTGGCCCGCTGGCCTCCCCTTGATGGAGATTCTATGGGTATGGCTCGAGGTTAGGATCGAACGAGAAGGTCAAGATGACCCTATCCGCTTTGGAGCAGATTGGGCGAGGGCCGCTGGGGCTCATCTGCATTTTCTCCCCTGGCTCTACTTGACGCGAGGTGGCCTCGAGCCCATTGCAGGCCGGCCTTCGAACCTCGATCAGTCGTCCCTCATTTCGAATGAGACGACTACCGCTTCGTGATGCGACGCGAAGCATCTCGATGTAATGATTGTATATTCAGTGATATGGATGTATGAAATGAATGGATGTGTAGATGCATGTATGAAATGGATGAATGAATGCTTGCATGCTGGTAAATAAAACAGAGGTATTGGTAAAGTTACCTCGGTCGGGTTTTTGGGTATTGCCTCATCCATGGTTTCCACAACCGGAGGGGTCGAGGTGATGCCACTTACCTTGATGGCTTGAGTGATGGGCTAGGTAAGCTCTTGTCAGGCATACCCAAGTGAAATCTGGACCCGTCGTACGTGATGAGGTCGGCATGGCCTTTGCGCGGCATTCCACTACTTCTTACCCATCTCTCGGGTGTTGCCTGAGTCGACTGACTGACTCGGGTGGCCCACTGGCCTCTCTTCAGTGGGGGCTCCATCGGTGGGCCCCTCCAAACCCTTCCTGGTAAGGCGGAGAGTCATTTGTGTGGGGGCATGCCTCGTTTCTTACGCCCTTTGTGGTGGTAGTGGTGGGCCTCGCTCGGACCATGTCCCGCCTAGCAGGCCACGCCATACTGGGCAGGCCACGTCCTATCAGGAGGCCACGTTCCTTCAGCAGGCCATGTCCCTTTGACAGGGCCGCGTCCCATCCCGCAGCCTTCCCATTAAATAGAGGGAAGGGGGAGGGTTTCTCTCCCATCTTTTTGCCTTCCTTCAACTGCCGCCTGCTTCTTCCTCCTTTTTCTCCAAGCCCGTTCATGTGCCGCGACGGTTCCTAGAAGAGAGAGGGGTGGAGCGAGGGAGGGGCAAAACCCACAGATCCATCCGTAGATCCGTAGAGCAATGTCAAGCTAGAGGCCTTCCAACGTAGATGAGGACATGCTGACCAACTTTGCCACGAAGGGGTTCCTTCTAGAGAAGGAGGTGGCGCATTGGAGGGCTCCCGTGCTGAGGGAAATCATTCCGTGACCCCAAGACGATGAGGACGTCTCCTTCCTTGCCTTCCACAAGCGGGGGCTTGGGTATCCCACACATTGGTTCTTGCGTGGGTTACTCAACGAATGGGGCCTGGAGTTGCAGCACCTCAACCCCAATGGGGTGCTGCACATTGCCAGCTTTGTCATGGCCTGTGAGGCCTTACTCAGGATGTAGCCTCACATGGATCTATTCCGGTGAGTCTTCATCGGGCGAGCCCTGTCCGAGGGGGATCCACCTAGAATCGCTCTGGTTGGGGGGTTTGGCCTCCAGAAGAGACCGAAGCCGTCGGTCCCCTACTCTGCGTACTCCCCCAGCGACTCCAACCGGGGATGGCATAGCGAGTGGTTCTATATCAGGAACCTGGTGGAGGCACCATTCCTGGTGTTTACCGAGGGGAGGCCAGAGAAGGAGAGCTAGACGTGCCCCCCCCCCGTCAATCACTCAAAAAGCTAGAGATCATCGAGCCGAAGCTACGGAAGCTTGTGAAGAAGGGCCTCGACGGGTTGCAGGTCTTCTTCACCTTCTTCCATCATCGGATTGCCCCATTGGCGAAAAGGTCGCGGTCGATGTGGCAGTATTCCGGCTCGACAGATCCCGACCATTCGTTGTCGAAGGAGTTGTCGGGGGACAAAATTTGGGGGTATCTTGGTCGGGTGTTGTAGTTGAGCGACCAAGATACCCTCGATGGGATGCCTAGACCCCTCAGTGCCACGAAGCTGTCGACCTTGGTATACTCCTTTCCCTTGATTTTTCCTTTCGAGTTTTGATTTCTCGATTGGTTCTTAGTCGCCTGTATTGCAGGGTCTTGGGGGCTTGAAATCCTGGCCGCATCTTCCAAAAGGGCCGAAAGGCGTGGCTCGGCAAGCTGCTCAGAGGGAGGCCACGGAGGCCAAGAAGAAGAAGAAGGAGAAGGT